GGCTGCGGACGGTTCGCCCCTGGGTTCAAGGTCAAGTGGAGCTGCGAGGGGAACGTACCCCAGCTCCGCGCCTCCGCCGCTCCTCGGGTCTCCCCGTTCTGCTAGGAGCTGCCTGGGATTCTTTCACAGCAAACGCCACATCAACAGCAAATACTTAACTTTTCCAGCCAGCGTGCACTGGAGAAGTGCTACATGCACCTGCTTACGTCCGTGAACAAAATAAGCTCAAAACATAAGCTGGATAGAAAATGCTTAATGCAAAGAATACCATGAAATCCACAGAAGTCTTACTGCTGTTCCGAGGCCCCAGTCTCCTCACAAAACACCTGCCACTGATAGCTGTAGGCCCTGGCAGGCCAAGAACTTGAACAGTATCTATTAATACTTGTAAAAGAAAAAAAAAAAATTAGACGATGCATGGATGAAGAACAAAGACCAGACTACTTCCACAATGGAAAGGTTACTGCTCCACATGCAGAATTCCTGATGAGCAGAAACTTTCTTTACAACGAAAGGAACATATTCTTTTTCCAATACAGTAAACCTCAACCACAGCCTGTTCTTATACCAAGGAGATTCGCATAGCCCACTGTCACTTCTGTCTGGAATTTACTCAGCCATTCCTCCCCATACATCTCTAAAGCAACAATCCTATACAAGTCTGAAGGATTCTTTTGTTTACAAAGAATGACACCCACCTCATTTTTACAGGCAAAACCACAACAAAGCAAAAGACAACAATCAACCTTGGATTTCAAAGCATCTGTCGGTGGGCAGCTGGGCGCTCCATCCTTCCCACTGAGGCCAAGTTTTTGACTGGCATTAACAATTGTGATTGCCAAAAGTCTGATACCCCTACGGACTTCCCAAACTTGGTTACTCATGGAGACCAGACTGAGACCAGACCGAGCTTTCATCAGAATTCCCACATCATCATTTACGTTATGCTGTCATTTTGTATACCAGAATCGCACACCGCAATAACATTAACTACGAATCCATCATGATAAATTCTGTGAACAAGGGGAGAACAAGATGGTCAATATTTAGAAAACGGACAAGGCGAGAAGAAAGACAACTTCACAGAGAATTTCTAACCTGGTACTTGCTTTCTCTGATCTTTCTAGTCAGAGAAGATTTTTACAGAACTCTTTCACTACAACACCCTGGGGCAGAGAAAATGAAAACTGCCATTTACCTTTCAGCATCAGACTTTCCATGCACAATTAGGAAAAAAAAAA